CTCCTCACCGTCATGGCTTACGACCGCTTCACTGCTATCTGCAAAACCCTGCACTATGGGACCCTCCTGAGCAGAGGAGCTTGTTTCAAAGTGGCAGCAGTTGCCTGGGGCAGTAGTTTTCTCAATGCTCTGCTCACACTGACAATAATTTTCATTACCGCTCTGCCAAGGCAATACTGTAGACCAGTTCTTCTGTGAAGTCCCCCAGATCCTCAAGCTCTCCTGCTCACACTCGTACCTCAGGGAAGTTGGGGTCTTTGTGGTTAGTCTGTGTTTAGCATTTGGGTGTCTTCTTTTAATTCTTTTCTCCTAAGTGCAGATCTTCAGGGCCATGCTGAGGATCCCCTCTGAGCAGGGACAGCACAAAGCCTTTTCCAGGTTCCTCCCTCACCTGGCTGTGATCTCCCTGTTTGTCAGCAAACTGCTAAGCATGTTTGCTTAGCCCCCCTCCATCCCCTTCCCATCCCTGGATCTGGTGATGGCTGTTCTGTACTCGGTTGTGCCTCCACCAGTGAACTCCTTCATCTACAGGATGAGGAACCAGGAGCTCAAGGATGCCCTGAGGAAACTGATTTTATTAACACCTTTTTAGTAGTGATAAGCTTCCCATCTCTTTCCAGAAATGTCTCCCATACCAGTCTTGACCTTTTGTTGTTGTTGTTGTTGTTGTTGTTGTTATTATTATCATCTTTATAATTTCTTTTTAGAATGTGACTACAGAAATGTTTGGATTCTTCCCACTTCTACTGAGGCATGAACTTCATCTCTGTCACCTGGAGTCTGTATGAAGGTGTCAAACACTGGGTCAGAGCTGAATCCCTCACAGCATTTCTGTTACAAAATGGGATCTCCTCTGCGCCATGGGCTTGTCTTCCAATGCTGGTGCCAGGAGTAGGCATGAGCGATTGCATCCCCAGGAGGACGTTGCTCAGGATTCTGCATGGCTGCAGGAGCAAAAACGTGTCAGTCACATTGTTATCTGTTGGCAACTGAGGACTGGATTTCAAACTCACCCATCAGTATCTAGTTACAGTGGAGGCAATGACTGGTCACTGAGTTTGATACTTGGGGCTGTGCCATATTGGACTTGGCAGATGATGTCATTCTTGAAGGGAAACTGGAGCTGCCTGGAAAGCCCAAGAGTTCTCCAGGGACAGCGTGTGACTGGGGTAGGCAGTGACTGGAGCCCCACAAATTGAGAGAGCACCAAAGGTGGAGTCACCCAAAGGTAAAGTGCTGAACTGAGGTATCCACAGGGAAAGGAGGACTCTCCAATCCCAGAGGAGGCAGCAGGGACCCAGCAGCATGGGGAAGGTAGGCCGGAGAGTGATTAATATCACCCTTAGGCAGTAGAGGCCCACTCACCCATAGTGTTAATGCACAAAGCTTGCCCTAGGCAGCACAGCTGGGGCACTGGATGACTGATGCCTCTGTGGTTGGTTGGGCTTCAGGTTTGGGATGGACGCCAGACTGATGTTAGGAGTGCCAGGAATTTTGTGGGCTTCCAGTGCAAATGTGATCATAGTAAAGGCCAGACACATGAAACTGCAAAGGCTGAGGGTGGAAAAAGAAGTGTGGAGCTTATGAAAGACACTTCTCCTTTCCCATAGGGAAGAGAAGTCCCAGGGGATTCAGAGTCTGTGCTAGTTCCCTAGATCTCTTACTTTACTCCTGCAAGAGCATGACTGTTTTTGTCAATGGGAGGAGACCACAGGCAGAGTGGAAGAAGATTTGAATACCTCCAAGGATAGGGATGGCAACCTGGTACAGTGCACAGTGAAAAGATTTCTCCATAGGGTGACTGGTGATAACACCAGTCTGAATGACCCTTCTTTCAGCTTTTCAGACTGTCCCTCATCCTTCAACTATGCACCATAGTGAAGATTTTAGCATCTTATTAATCACCTGATAGGTACTGGGAAGCTGCTATGAAGTGTCCTGATGTATTATTCTCTTTTCCAGGCTGAACAAACTCACTCCCTCAGTTGCTCCAGCCTGCCCCCACCCTAACCATCTAATAGGTCTCCGCTGAACTTGGTCCAGCTGATCAATGTCTTTCCTTCATTGGGACCGGGGACGGGGGATGGGGGAGCAAAGCTGGACACAGTATTGTATAGGTGGTCTAACAAGTATTGAGGAGAGAGGGGTAAGCTCTTTCCCCGATCTTCTGGCTATGCTCCTGTTCATACAGCCCAGGATGCTTTTGGCTTTCTTGACTGACAGCGCTCATGTGCAGCTTGCCATCCACCAAGACCCCCAGGTCTTTCTGCAGAGCTGCTCCCCAACCTGTACTGTTGCCTGTGTCAGTCCGCCCCAGGGGCAGGAACTGGCATTTCTGTTTTCTTCAATTCAGCACATTTCTGGGGTAGCACTCCCCCAACCTGTTGAGGTCCCTTGGGGTGGCAGCTGTCAAGTGTTTACGTTGCCCACCCTCCCCCAGTTTTGTGTCATCTGCAAATTCAACAAGACTGTGCTCCGTAAGCTCTTCCAGGTCATTAATAAACCTGTTGAGAAGGACGCCTCCCAGGACACACTCTTGCAGTACTCCACTTGCTATTGGCCTCCAGGCAGAGTGTTACCTGTTCAGGATGACCCTCTGTGGTCTCTCAATAGCTGTGGATGAAACCCCATAGATTAGTATGGGTCAAGTTCTCTCAAGTGGTGACTTAATCCTTGTGCACTGCTGAGATTTCTTCTCCTTGTGAAAATTAGAAAGAATTTAAATGTATTTCATAAGAGGAGACAGTTGGACATGAAACTGAGAAGAAAATTACCTTGTCCAAAAGGCTGGAACTTCCAGGAAGCTTCCAGTTTTAAGGAAGAATGGCCACCAACTGAAACCATGAGGCATAGTTATTGTCTGCTCTACTAGCCTAGCCTCTCTGGAGCTCCTTTTTAGTATAGGGGAATGGAGAAGAGGAATTTTTTCCTTTCGCCATCTCCTCCAGCCAGTGTCACAGTGGTGCATGAAGAGAGGACAAGAGATTTACACAAGAAAACTTTCCACAGGAGATAAAGGAAATATTTTTCCTCATGATGACAGTCAAGCACAGGAAGTGGCTACCAAGAGATATAATCCACTGTCCATTCTTGGAGGTTTTCAAGTCCCAGATTGGATCAAGCCCTGAGTGACTGGCTCCGGCCACATATTCTGTGAGCAGGAGGGTGGGCTGGAGTCCTCTTGACAGCCTGCCCTTTGACCAACATTGGCATGTAGGCAAGATGCCACACACGTCATCTGAAATGACACGTAAGGTACACTACTGCCGTGTAAGGCATGATTCTTTCAAATCACACTACCTTTGGTGGAGCCAAGGCGTGGCATGACTCTTGCCCACATTCAAAAGGCATTTGCATGATTGGCTGTTGCTGCCAGATGAGCCAGATGCTAAGTGTCCCTGATAGTCCACTGGAGCCATGGCATCACTTACAATCCTGTGTTTGCTTTCGGTGATCGGGTGAGTCACTATGTGTGTGTGTTATTGCTCATTTTTCTTACTGCCTAAATAAAGTTTGATTTATAACCTGTTGTCAGACTCGCTTTAGTGTTTGAACCACACCTCCTGATATACAGCAAATGTATCACAAAGCCTGCTGAGGAGAGAAAAGGTGGTGCCCCTCTTTCCCATTTTCACAGAATTACGGAGTCACAGAATGGTTGCAGTTGGAAGAGTTCATCTGGTCCAACTCCCTTGCTCAAGCAGGGTGACCTAGAGCTGGTGGTCCAGGACCATGTCCAGATGATTTCTGAATATCTCCAGGAAGGGAGACTCCACAACCTCTCTGGGCAATCTGTGCCAGTGCTCGTGGCACTGTATGTGTGCCTTATCAAAAAGTGTTCCGTTACGTTCAGAGGGAGCCTCCTGTGTTTCAGTTTGTGCCCATTGCTTCTGGTCCTGTCACTGGGTACCACTGAAAAGAGCTTGACTCAGTCTTACTTGCACCCTCCTTTTGTACTTCTCTGAGCCTTCTCTTCTCTAGGCTAAACCATCCCAGCTCTCTCAGCTCCTCATAGGAGAGACGCTCCAGTCCCTTAATCCAGTGTGTCCATGTCTCTCTCACACTGGGGAGCCCAGCACTGGACACAGTACTCCAGGTGTGGAGTAATTTGCAGTGTACACCAGGGGTCTATACTGGGTTCAGTCCTGTTTAACATTTTCATTAACGATCTGGATGGTTGGGCAGAGTATACCCTCAGCAAGTTTGCTGATGATACAAGACTGGGAGGAGCAGCTGATATGCCAGAGGGCCATGCTACCATCCAGAAGGACCTGGACAGGCTGGAGAAATGACCTGACAGGAACCTTCATGAAGTTCAACAAGGGGAAGTGCAAATTCCTGCCCCTGGGAGGAACAACCCCATGCAGCAATATATGCGATGGTGAACAGTTGGCTGAAGGGTTGGGCTCAAAGAGTTGTAGTAAATGGAGTAATACCTGGCTGGCAGCCAGTCACTAGTGGTGTTCCCCAGGGCTTAATTTTAGGGCTAGTTCTCTTCATTGGCTTTATCAATGACCTAGACATGTGAGCAGAGTGCATACTGAGTAAGTTCACCAACAATACTGAAATAGGAAGAGCCATTGATTCTCTTGATGGTAGAGAGGCCTTATAGAGAGATCTTGATAGATTAGAGGCAATCACCAGCCAAATGACATTCAACAAGGGTAAATGCTGGATTCTGCACCCGGGCTGGTATAATACTAGAGGTACATATAGATTGGGGGACACCACGCTGGTGTGCAGCCCTGTAGAAAGGGATCTGGTTGGTTTTGATTGATGGTAAGCTCAATATGAGTCAACAATGTGCTCCAGTGGCCAAAAGGGCAAACCATGTCCTGGAGTGCATTAAGCACAGTATAGCTAACCAGTTGAAAGAAGTGATTGGCCCGCTATACTCAGCATTGATGTGGCTTCGCCTCAAGTACTGTTTGCAGTTTTGGGCTCTACAATATAAGAAGGATATAAAAATATTAGAATGTGTCCAAAGGAGGGCAACAGAGATGGTGAAAGGAATAGAGGGCATGACTTATGAGGAGCAGGTGAGAATAGCAAGTTTGTTCAGCTTAGAAAGGAGGAGACTGAGGGGTGTCCTCACTGCTGTCTACAACTTCCTCATGAGGGACATAGAGAGAGAGGAGCTGATTTCTTCTCTCTGGTGTCTGGTGACACAGAGGGAGTAGCTTAACGCTGCATCAGGGAAAGTTCAGATTGGATATTATGAAAAAGTTCTTCACTGAGAGTGTGGTCAAGCACTGGAACAAGCTCCCCAGGGAAGTGGTCATGGCCCCAAGCCTGTTCGTGTTCAAGAAGTGTTTGGACAATTCTCTTAGATAGATGGTTTAAACTTTAGGTTGCCCTGTGCGGAGTCAGGAGTTGAACTCGATGATCCTCATGAGTTCCTTGCAACTCAGGATAGTCTATGACTTTATGATACTTTTATAAGATTTGGGATATAGCCACAAAACCAATCCCTCCAAAAACACCTGAGCCTGACTGTCCCTTCCCACAGGGTGGGCAAAGGCTAGCAGCAGAGGGTGCCACAAGCCCGCTGAGTTCAAGGCAGATGGAGACTTTGTCTGCAGCGGGAAATGGTATCAGGACAAGAATTTCTTCCTTGCTCAGTCTCTGCAAGGAATAAATAACTAAAAGTGCCTGATTGATCCTAGTTATTGCTTAGGAAAAATCCTTGAGTCTTGAGTTCAGCACACATCCGTTACTGAGAATTGCCAATGGTATTTTTGACATGCTTAAGAGAAATAGATCAGCTCTTAATTATGCCCATTGCAACCAATTAATAATGCCTCTCACTGAGTGTGGACGTAGCAGTCCTTGGGTGGATTAATGAATACGCACCACCCTCTCCATAAGAGCTGGTAGCTGCTGTTCCCTTGCCCAAAGGGACAGGAGGGCTAGGTCTCAGAGAGTCTGCTGATGCCTCCAGCCACAAGTACACAAAGGGCTGCAAGCCTGCTCCACACCTGACTATCCTTCTGGCCAGTGCAGGTATAGTTTCTGGCTCATTTTTCCCCTGCCTCCACAGATTTCTTTTCTGCATCCTTATTTTCCAGTGCTGGGGACTAGAGGGGAGGAGAGGGAGAGGTCCTGTAGCAGGACCCTGGCCTCAGCCCTGCCATCCTGGCATGCATCAGCCCTTGCAGAAGGAAGAAGGTCTGAGTCTGATTCATAGAAGACCCCTTTGCATCACTGCCCTTTGTGTGAGGAAGAAAACGTGCCATCCCAGGACAAACGGCTCCCTCGTTCCTGGGGAGAGCTAAGACTCTTCCCCACGTGTCTCCTCTTGGAAACTACTGCAGCACCGGCAGTTGTTCACACATGCTCCCTTTGCTGGAATAACCCCTCCTCAGGATCAAGGATTTCCATGGGTTTGCAGTGGGAGTTAACTGTGCTGCTCAAACCCTATTTTACCTGCTTTTCTTCTCCATCAACTCAGCATAGCATTGCCAGTGGCTCCAGCGCTTCAGCTTATACAGCTCTGCACATGTCACTGAGAGCTGACACTCTCCTTGTATGAGTGAGAGGCTCTGAAATGGTGTTTCCTCTCTTGCAGGTCACAGGAGGTCTTTCAGCCACTTTCCCAAAATCACAGCTTACAAGAAAGTCTTTGCAGACCCTCCTCCACCCCTCCATCTCCAGCCTGTAACTTTCCTGCCCTTGCAGTGATTGCCTGCAGCGCGCTTGCACGTAGGTAGGTGATGCCACTTTCTCCACTGTGAAGATGAGAAACGGAACTTCCCCAAAGGGGACAGTGCTTTCTAGGTGAGCTCCAGCCACTGTGCCATCACAGCTCCCCAGATCACATGAAAGAAGGAGCCATGTGTCCTTGAGCCACCCATGTGCTCTCAGGAGCTGCAGGAAGGCCAGGAGCTGCCCACGGCACCCACCAGCCATTGTGTGTCCCAAGCCAATGCACAACACCATCGTTGCCCCGGGAGGACAACCAACACTGTGAGCACAGAGGCCAGGAAAGGGTTTTTGTGAGGGGTGCTCAAGTAAATTCTCTTTGTCACAGCAGCAGGCCACCTTGTACTTTCTGTGACCCGGGTGCTGTTTTTCTTACTGCCTGACATCCAGAGAAAACCTTTAGTTTCCATGGGGAACAACAACCAAACCCTGGCCACAGACTTCATCTTCCTGGGTTTCTCCAGTCTTGCAAAACTGCAGAAGCTGCTCCTTGTGGTGTTTTTGCTCCTGTACCCTTCCTTTTCTTGGGGTGCTCCCACTCCTTCCTCCTGGCAGCCATGGGCTACGACCGCTGTGTTGCCATCTGCCACCCCCTGCATTACAACAGCATCATGACTTGGCGAGCATGTGCTCAGCTGGTGGCTGCTTCTGCTCTGAGCGGCTTGCTGCTTGCCCAGGTGGTTACCCCCTTGATATTTTGCCTGCCCTTCCAGGCATCCAGGAAACTCAACCATTTCTTCTGTGAAATCTCCCCAGTCCTCCGAGTGGCCGCTGTGTTGCCATCTGCCACCCCCTGCATTACAACAGCATCATGACTTGGCGAGCATGTGCTCAGCTGGTGGCTGCTTCTGCTCTGAGCGGCTTGCTGCTTGCCCAGGTGGTTACCCCCTTGATATTTTGCCTGCCCTTCCAGGCATCCAGGAAACTCAACCATTTCTTCTGTGAAATCTCCCCAGTCCTCCGAGTGGCCTTTACTCACACAACCTTCAGGAAGGCCATTATCTTCACACTGGGTATCTCTGTCCTTACGATCCCACTGATGCTGATCCTCATTTCATACCTCTTCATTGTCTTGGCCATCTTGCAGATCCCTTCAGCCACAGGGAGGCACAAAGCCTTCTCCACCTGCAGTGCTCACCTGATAGTAGTGGTTATTCATTATGGCTGTGCCTCCTTCATCTACTTGAGACCCAACTCCAACTCATCAGATCAGGATGCATTGATTTCTGTCGCTTATACCATCCTCACTCCCCTGCTCAACCCTATGATTTACAGCCTAAGGAACAAGGATGTCAAAGTGGCTCTTCAAAAAGCAATCAGGAAAAACATACTATCTCAGAAAGTTTTCCAGTGAAGAGGTTAAGATGAGCTGCTTCCTGACTGGGTATTTTCAGCCAACATCTTTCACTTCCAAAAAAACATCACCCCTTTTCCATACATCCTCTTTTGCTCACAGAGAAGCTTTCAGGAATGACATGACAGCTCATCATGGCTGCTAAGAACCTGACATTAAAAATCAACAAATTCTAATCCCAGTGAGACTGGAAACATGAACAGTGAAATGTAATTTTTTTAAAATTTGGAAACCCAAATTTTCACTCCAGTGATAGTAGTTTCTTAGGTACAACTTTTTCATATGAGCCATTTACTAAATAAAAAGCACGGATGTCGAAAAAATTTCACTGGGACAGTCCTGTTTTTTAGGGAGACGGCAAACTCAGGACCATGTTTTTATTGTGTATCAAGATACCACTGAGCAATGACACCTGCTCATCTGCATGGTATTGTGGTGCCCATCAACAAAGCCTGCAAGGCAAGTGAACTACTTCAAATTGCATCTGCCATGGGCTACATTTAGCCACACAGCCATGAACCAAACCTCACATGATATGTTCTCTTGCTGACCTGTATGAAGCTGACCACAAACCTAAGACCTTAGACACTTGCAAAGCATGTGTCCACCAACTTCAGTGAGGACGCGAATGTCTATTGAGGTGGACCTACAGAATGGTTCTTCAGGAACAGTTTTCTTAGAAAAATGAATGAACAAGATATCCACAGGTGCATGTTTTACCTCCACAATAATGGTGTTTTCCCTAAATCAATGAAACCATCTGGGAAAGTGGAATTAGCAAAACTAGGAAGGGAAATATTTTCCAGAGAAAAAGACCCTGTGGTAGTGTTCTCCAGAAACATTAATTTTTAAAGTCATGCTCCATCATCTTTCAGAACTGTCATGCACAGTCAAGTGTTTCCCTCCCTTCACCCGCGAGATTGTCCAAGATGTGTCTCAGCACAGTCCTGTGCTGAGCTCCCTCTTCCCAACCCAGGGCGATGGGCAGCACACACGCAATGTCCAGCCCTGAGCCATCAATGATCTCCCCAACAGAGTTCTTGAGGACTAACAAAGGAAACAGACTTCATTTTCTGGACAGAGTGAAATGGTAGAAGGCAACAAACCAGAAAAACTAAAAGGCACCTGAAACTTTTCTATCTAGAGGTTTTTACCACATCAGAGATATAGTCACATTTCCTCCAAAACTTTGTATGTCACATTGCAATTTCTCTGGCTTTAACCTCACAGAATTTTCTCTCTGCAGAATAAAGAGACTTTTGGGGGTCAGTATTTCCTCCACACAGAGGAAATTTCTAATAATCTCTCTTCACTGTGAACATCAGTGCTCTTTCATTAAGCAGACTAGATCGAAGCTTTTTGGTGTTTCAGTATAAGGTATTTTCCTCTGCTCTGAGATAGTGTGTATTGCTCCTTTCCCACTCATTCTGTTTTTTTTAAGACACTCTGCAAAGTCTTGGATGCAGTATTTTTGTTTAGCTCCCACTGTTGCAGTCTTTATTTCTAGGGGGTTTCAAAATACCAGAGATAGTCAAGTTTCCTCCAAAGGTTCATATGTCACATTGCAATTTGTCTGGCTTTAATCTGGTGGAATTGCAGTTGTCCAGAGTAAAGAGCCCTTTTGGGGTCAGTGTTTTCCACACATAGAGGTATTCTTGTATGTAATCCAATTGTTTTGGTGTTAACATCAGTCCTCTTCCTTTTAAGCTGAATAGATCTAAACTCTTTGGTCTCAACATCCTCTGTAAAGTCTTGGCTGCAGCATTTCAGTTTAGGAATTATTCTGCTTTTGACAGCTACTCCCTGAGCTCTGATGACAGTTGGGTTATTTTGTTACATTATTTTCATTGCAAACGTGGACTATTTATTGTGGGGTGGGTGGGTCTAGAATCAGGATGTTCCAGAGTGATACTGCCCTGACCCCACACAGCAGGTAGGGGATGGAGCAGAGAATGGAAGAGGGGGTGCTGCAAGTCCAAAGGTCTCCTGGGTACTTTTAATAGCCTTTAGTGGAGTGCTTTACACATGACACTGGGTAAATCATTGAGTTGAGTCCATGTTAGTTCAAAAAAGGATTGTGGAAGGAAGAAACCTCTGCAAAAATGATCCAGGCAAGAGATGGTGAAGGAATCAGCATTTCATCTGCACAGTGAGAAGCTGACAGATTGCAGGAGGAAAATACTCTGGTTTTTGTTAATTGAAACTAAATCAGGCAAGTCCTTCACTTGCTTTATGTCCTTCTTCATTGTTTCCTGGTATGATGTTATTAATGATTTTAATAAAGCAGTTGCAGAGCAGTTCCCCAAAGAAGTCTGTTTTTTGCAAGGGCTGTTCACGGACCTCTCATGGTTGCCGGGCAGTGGCAGTGCCAGCGAGGGACAGGACTGGGGCTGCCTGTGCCACCCTGTGGTGTCCTGTCTGGGGTGCCACCATCATGGAGAAGAGTGGAGAAACTGAGGCTGGAAGGGCCTTCCCAAGCCCTGTTCAGAACTTCACCAGCTTCAAAAGCAGACCCAGTTCTCCAGGGCCTTTTGACTATTGCTTTGCAGGAATGGCTGCAGGAAAAAGCTGTGAAATGGTGCATGAGAAGCTTGGCTCCTCTTGGCACTGAGTTTGGTAATGATGGCCTGCCCCAGCAATCCTGTCTGAGCCCCTTGAGACCAGGCGTCTCCCAGGACCTGGCTATCCAGGATTCCCACTGCCCATGGCACTGGCAACCTTGCCCTCTACCTGTGACTTGCAAAGGGCAGGGGAGACTCTGGCATGTGCTCTCCCCCACCAGATCTGACACTGGAAAGGCTCTCGGCTTGGCATTTTTAGGGACACAGGTGCGGGAGGTGTGGTGGGGGGGTCTTGAAGTCTCCCTGAAGAAGCCCAAATATTGCCCATTGCAGCAAGGAGAGCAGGGCGATGCCATGCCCACATGGCAAAGCCATGATCCAGATCAGCCTTTCAGCAGGGAAGGGCATTCCATCTCTCCCAGAGGGCTGTAGCCACTGCCAGCAGCTCCCCACATCCCACTGTCATTGTCCTTGCTGTGTCCTGAAGCATCCCCTTCTTCTACTGAGCTCCTTCTCCTGCCCTAACTCCTGCAGGACATGTGGCAGATCCTGCAACCTACCTCCCACTGCTCCCTGAGTAAACTCCCTGCCCTGGCTCTTCAAATCCTCATTGGCCTCATCTCTACATTGCTCCCCAAAAGCTGCCATCAAGCACAGTCTGACTGATCTGGGGCAGGTGCAAGGGATAGACTGGGCAGGAGGCAGGTCGGAGATCCATGAAGTCAGGAGCCACATGGGAAAGACATATAGGGGCTGGGTGCTCAACACTCCTCCAAAAACAGTGGCATATAGGGAGGCAAACCAGGA